ATATATAAATATGTAAAAACCTTTGGCTGATGGAACAATAACAAGGTCAAACAGTAAATATTTATACCTGGAAGCCATCAATCTCATCTGTGCTGTGGCCTCTTGCCAAAACTACCTTCAGAAGTAGTTTAGCTTGATGTGGAGAGGATTGGTGAGTTGCTTGGATGTTTTTTCTTCCCACTTTAATATTAATAGAACATTTACGTTTCCATCAATGAGTCCTTTGCCCTGATTGAGCCCTCTCCAACCTCAACAGGAGTCATGGAAATGTTTCTCTGCAGTCTGTAAAATCCACACAGATGTCTGAAGTGCGGCTCCAGGGGGGGATGAAATCTGGGGAAGAGGGCCTGGAGTGGGGCTTGGGCTGCTGTGACAGCCCCACCCCAGCTCTCCAGCATTCCCAGGATCAAGAACATGGATGGGGGCACCAGCACATCCCTGACAAGCCCTTCCCAAGGAAAGCCTGCTGGGAGAGCACCCTCTGTGCTGCAGAACTCTCCTGGATCCCCTGGGACAGGCAGCAGCCCCAGGTTTCTGAAGGTCTCAGAGAGGTTCGCAGCAGAACAGAGGCTCTTCCCAGGAGAGGTGACCTGCAACAGGACAAACCCTTTCCTGGGATGTGATGGAGTCCTCCCCAGGGGAGGCTGAAGGGAATCCAAGACACAGACGGAAGAAATCAAGGATGAGGAATGGGTGCACCTGGTGTCCACAGGATGGGCCAGCAGGGCTGGCTGGGGACAATCTTGTGCCTGGGAACAGCAAGCCTGGGGAGTGCTGGGGGTGTCCTGCAGCAAACAAGCCAGTGCCACTGAGCTGGCAGGGATCAGGACAGGGGACTGTGCTGGCTGTGGTGCAGGCTGGGCTGGCTGCACAGGGGAGAGCAGGGGAGCTCTGTCTTGAGTGCCACAGCCCTGCTGGGCTCTGTTTGAGAAGCTTTCAGGATGTTCTGTGAGGGCATCTTCATCAGCCCTTGGGAGAAGAGGTGGCACTGAGGGACCACCTCTGCCCCAGCCCTCTCCTGCCACCCCCCAGGGATGTTCTCCACTCTGACACTAAAATGCAGCTCTCAGTGACCATGTGCTGCTGTCCCTGCCTGCTGAGGGAGCCCAGAGGAGCTGTCCCTGCCTCCTCCATGCCCATGTGCAGTTTCAGAAGAGGGAAGGTGCCAAAACATCCCTCTGACATTCCCAGCAGCAGTGCAGCTGCAGGCTGGGACTGCACTGTGTGTTTCCCAGGTGGTGTGAGCTGCAAAACAAGAGTGCAGACCAACAGCTCATTTTTATCACCCTCAAAGACTTCCAGTTCCTGCCTGGGAGAGTCTCTTCAAGTCGGGGAAGTTTGGGCCTTGCCAGAAGAAAAGAAATAATGGAGTCTTGAGGTTCACAGTGCCCACTGTCTGCACAACTGTAGATTAGATTATCAGTGGTCATATACAGATAAGTTTCTGTACAGATCAGCTATGTATGCCCTTGTATGCCATCACAGCAAGCCTAAAACTCCAGTTTTTGATGCTAGATTAGCTCTGGCCTGGCAAGCACTTAGAAGAAGCCCCCATCAACAGCCTCGTGTTAACTGGGAAGGAAACGTCCTAATTTGAGTCACTGACAGTTTTATAAAAAAAGAACATTATCTTCTCTGTGATGTCTGCTGGCAGGAGATGTTAAACCACTTATTTATAACTATCTTCCCGAAATGCTTTCCTGCTTGGAAGCCAAACTAGAAATCCTGTTTGGTTTGTTGTCTTTAACCAAAGGATGCCGGTATTTCTGCTTCCAGCTGGCAGAAAGACTCAGAGCCCATGCCAGGCTTTGGTTCGGAATAGACTTGGCTTTCGAGGCGTGCTCACACAGGCACAGGAAGGCAGCGTTTATCAGGCAGCGTTTTTGGAAGAGCCAGCAGATGGGTGTCACGGGCAAGCCAGCAGGGCAGCGTCCTGGGGAGGGACAAGAGGAGAGGGCTGTGGGGAGGGACGGGCAGGAATTCACCCCGAGTTCAGCGGGAGTGATGGGATCACAGCAGGAAGGGAGGAAGGAGGCTCAGGAGCTGTGTGCAGCACTTCAGGGTGACCCAGCCCCTCTCCTGAGCACCACCCCACAGCACAGAGCCCACCTGGCCTGGGCAGCCAGCAAAGGCAGCCCCAGGATGCTTGGGCTGCTGAGAAGCTGATGGTAAGACTTGATGATTTATGGAGAGCTCTACAAAGCAAGCACTGACAAAAAGAGACGTGGCTCTTGGGGTAAAAGGGATTTTGGGGAATTCTCCGGCTAGCAGAGGAAACCAGCAGGGCCAGCTAAGCCAGCTAAGTCATTGGATGGAGTTATTTAAACCTGCTGTAATTCCATTAGTAAACACAACATACTCTTTGTGACCATTTTATTGTGTTGGTTTTGTTTGTTGTAGGGTTTCTATTCCGTTCACTTAGGCCTGAGTATTATAGTGACATGAATGTTTTATGAGACACTCTTCATCTAGCTTATTTAAGAGAAGGTTTCCAGAACAGACAGCTGTAGCCCTTCGCACTGGAGAGCCCAGGGAGCAGAAGGGTGGCAGGAAGGGAGCTCACTGCTGGAGGGAGTGTGGGGGTGCCTCGGGGTGAGGGTCTTGGGGACACGTCCAGGCAGTGATGGGGCAGCTGGAATGTCATAGTGGGGTGGCTGCAGCAGCAGCAGCAGGAGGCCCAAGAGGCAGAACCAGGTGCCAAAGAAGCCAGGATGTCCTCCCTGCCCAGCAGAAGGGCTGGGGATGGTTCACCCTCCCCTCTGCTCCTCCACCCCAATGCTGCAGGCAGAGCAGGAGAGCTCCTGGGTCTTCCCACCCACCAGGGAACCCTCAGGGATGAAAGGCACTGTAGAAATGACATGGTTTGGGGTGCAGATGCTGGGAGAGAGGATGTGGACAGAGCTGGTTTCCTTAGCAGCAGCCTGGGGGGGAGGTTCCTCCTTCCCAATATTGCCAGCTGTGTGGATGTGCTTGTGGACTCAACACCCTGGGACTGGGCTAAACACCTCCAAACTCCTCTCCAAATCTCAGCTGTGGGCAGGGGGAGTGACTGCACTGCTGTTGAGCCAGTGAGATTGGTAAAGGACAGGCAGGATGTGCACCAGGGCCTCCCATGCTGCAGGACAAAGTGCCCTGGCCTTCCTCGCTCTATCCTGCCGCCCCCATGGATATTCCAGGTGGGACAAATCCTGTGCCTTGTGCTCAGCCCTGCTCCTGCACGGGCAGGGGGAAGCTAAGCCCGGCACAGGGGCTCAAAGCAATGCTGAAGGCATCACCCTGGGGGTGCTGGGGCCCTGGTGTAGCTGCAGGAGCCCAAAACACACTGGGAGCAGCTCTGGGGACAGCCAGAGGGTCAGAGGGGGTGCCCTAAGAAAGAGGGGGTGCACCCCTCTGGGGCAGCAGGACTGTGCTACCCCAAGGAATCATCAGGCACAGGATGTCCCTCCCTGTAGGACAGTGTGCCCATGGATCCAGGGATGGATGGCTTGGATGTCACCACTTTGTGCTGCTGCTGGGAAAAGGACAAACTCTGGTTTGGGTCCACTGTGGTGGTCAGGAAGGGAGAAAAAGCCTCTCTCCAAGGCTCTGGAGGGCTTTCCTTAGAAGAGTGTGCAGTGCTAGACTGGGTCTTGCCTCAGTTGCTCTGTGGGATGGCACACATGGCTCTATGGGACAGCAGTGTCACCTGCTCTTCCAAAGAACCCCTTCTGCTGTTTTCCCGTGGTGCTGAGGATGCACCAGCTCAGCAGGGACTGGGAGAGTCTTGGGGACCACCAGTGCCCTGCCTCATCCCCGTGGCAGGTCCCACAGGGAGCATCCTGCATTGGAGCAGGGATGCACCATGAGCTGGGTTTCCCCAGGCTGTGCTCCTCCCCATCAGCATGGCTTACCCCAGAGGAGGGAGATTCCCTAAATCCACGTGTGAGCACTGAGATAGCAACGAGGGCTGCTGAGCAGCCAGAGGAAGATGAAGGGGAGGCTGAAAGAAGGGGCTGGGACAGAGAGGATCTGTTGAGAACAATAAATGGATGGGGCCATAAGAGGAAGTGATAGACCATCGATCTGAGCATCTCTGTGGCTTCCAGTCCTGATGCTGAGTGCGTGCAGCCTCACAGCTGCCAGCTCCTCCAAGGCTTTGTAAAGCTCCTGCCTGGACTTCCTGACTGATGCTAAGGAAAATGATTTCTCTGATAGGAACCACAGTTCCTGCTAACATCAATTGCCCCAAGAGTGCACAATGCCAGCCAGACAGCACCTTTCCCACCTTTCTTGTCTGGAGAGACAAAACCAGCTGGGTTTGGTGAAGACAGAGAGGAAGAAGACCTGCAATACCTACAAGATGCTGTCCGCTCTGGTAACCACAGCAGGGGCAGGTTTGCCCCAGCGGGCACTGGACCACAAGCTGGCCCATGCCAGGCTGCTCCCTTGTCCCTGCAGGTGACCAGCTCACCTGCATTCACAGCCCAGGTGCAGGACCCTGCACAAAGAGCCAGGCCCTGAAGAGGAGCCTGGCTGAGTGACTGACACACCCTGCAGCCCACGTGTCCAGGAGCATCCCCCATGCTCGGGCAGCCCATCACAGAGGAGGAACCCCAGAGCAGCGGCCCCTGGGGACAGCATGAAATGGCAGAGGCGTGAAGACCACGGGGACCACAGGAGGTGGCAGAGGAGAGATGGCAGCACAGGGTGACTTGGTCAGATGGGTGACAGCAGACTTAAGATGTTAGAGGCACAGCTTGTTATGATCCCTTATTATTTTTTTAGCTTTCATCATCAAAGTAAATATAACCAAAGTATATATGGGATTAAATTAAAATCACAGTTTTGTTTACATTAGAAAAGAGTGACATAATAATAATAATAATAATAATAATAATAATAATAATAATAATAATAATATCAAATGAACAATAATAATTAAACAAAAGAAGAAAAGAAGAAAGCCCTGGAGAATTCCTGCTGGGATGATGCTCACTGATGGAAGGTTTGCGTGACCGGTTTTATTGTTTGGGGATCATTCCCTTGATAGCTGACTCCCGGTTCACGTAGGTGGCCCAGTAGACCAAGTTGAAAATGGCAAAGAGGACTGGGAAGACGATGCGGGACATCTTGTCTACCTTGCTGACGCTGTTGTAGGTCTTCTTGCTCTCGGGGAGCTTCTCCTCCAGGCGGGGCATCTTCGGGGGCACGCTGGTGGCCGTGGCAGTGGCAGCAGCACTCTTGGAGATGGTGGGCAGGCCGGGCTCCTTGCTGATGTTCAGGGCGTAGGTGGTGCCAACAATGTTGTAGGTGTTGTTGGTTTTCTTCGCCAGCGCCACCGGCTCTTTTTTCTAGGGGAGGTGGAAGGGAAAACAAACAAACAAACAGAGGTGAAGGGGCAGGGAATGGCACGGAGAATGTTTGGCCCTCTGAGTTTACCTGCTTAAGTCCGGGTGAGGAGGTGGAGAAAGGTGTGAGGAGCAGGAGGCCAAGAAGGGAGGAATGTACCTTGTGAAAGAAGAATGGCAAAAGGAATGACACCCCGTGCGCTCATCCTTGGGGAAGAACTGGATTTTCTGCTTGGCTGGCTGCTTCCTGGGGCAGGTGAGAGGAGGACACAGCACACAGGATTACAACTTGGTTTTATTTCTTGGTGGCAAAAAGCCATATTAAGAATATGGGCAACAGCATTGCAGTATCCTTGCACCATATTTCAGTGCCCTGAGTTCCTCACAGGAACACCTTAAAATTTAACATAACGATGTTCAAATTGCTTCTGGAACCCTTTAGAGCACCTCACAGCCCACCCAGGTAAGATACAGAACAGATGGAAGGCATTTGCACCAACCAGGATTTCTGGAATGCTCAGCACAGCACCACAGGGCAGAGGGAAGACTTTCCTCCTGCCTTCATACCCAAGGGATGCTGAAAATCATAGGAGGTGAGGGAATCCCTCCCACAGGGCTCTGGGGGACAGCATACATGCTGCAGTGGGGACAAAATGCAGGGAGGATGGCAAGAGAGGCCCTTGTGTGTCAGATGTGATGCACTGAAGGATGAGGGTGAGTGCTGGAGACAGTTCAGGTGTTCATGAGGATGGGTGGGCACGAAGATGGACCTAGGGAGTCATGACAGGTGTTGTCCCTGCTCTGGGGATCTTCCTGCTGCTGCCAGGGACCTGAGACCAGCTGCACTGTGCTGTATAAGCAAGCCAAGCCTACAAGGAGAAGGCCACTGACGGAAATCTGCACTCAGGTACCCCATGATTGCCCCCTGCTGCACCAAGGGCCAGCACCAGACACAGCAGTGCCTCGTGGTGGGACTGGTCTCTAAACTCAGAACAAGGCGTGCCTTTGGATGACTTTTTTTCTGCTGAAAAGCAACTGAAACACAAGGTGAGGCTCATCCAGGCATTTCCCAGGGCTGCTGGGCATGGTCATGCACGTTCCTATGAGGGAAGCACTTCAGGAGGAGAACTGCACTTGCAGGCAGCAGGACCTGTCCCTGTCCTCACACTGCTCTGGGAACTGGGCAGCACTGGGAGCTGGAAGGGCCAGGCCTGCCCAGCCTCTGCTCTGCAGAGACAGTCCCAGGGCTTCTGTCCCCAGTGCTGTACTTCCATTTTAAATGTGTCTACAGTCACCATGGATATTCCTGGTTACCTTAGGAAATGAATTTTCCACAGTGATTTTCAGAGGGACACTAAAAGCAGACCTCTGTGCAATCTTTAAACCCCTCTCCAATAACACCACAGCCAGGCAGCCTTGTAATAATGCCAGCAATTACAGAAATTAACTTGTTAGGAGGGGGTCTAGATGTCTTCAGACTCCAGACCAGACTAAACCACTGTTTGGACCATATCCATAGTATTTTATGGTCTTTAACAATTAACTAAGTCTGATTCTGCAGTCATTAGAGCCACATTAACACATTCCCTCTGCACAGCAGATGAACTTTTCCTGCTAAAGAACTGACAAAAAGCAAGTAAAGATCTAAAGATGTTTCACCTATTAAAACACCTAAATAACTATGATTACTTATTAACACAGCTACAGGAGGCAATAAAATAATTAATAATCAGTAATGAAATGAAAACCAGATTGTTGTTCACAGAACGTAATTGGCAGTGCACTGTGGTTATCTCAGTATTAATCAGCCATGTTATTCATTAGAGGAATAAGATGAATCCATGTGACATGACATTTTCAACCTGGACAGCTTTCCTGCCCCAGAGTTTGGAAAGTGGATGCATAGGGAATCAGCTGAAATGGAGTAAAGTCAGGCAAATCTGGGTGCTGTGGGTGGTGACAGCTCCTCCCAATAGCGCGATCCAGAGACCCCAAGCATTAATTTGGACTTCCCTGACCTCAGATCAGGCTGTTCAGGTAGAACAGGGGCTTGGGAACCTTCAGCCAGGGCCTTTTCCCAGCTGCCCATGGAATCCTCACCCTGCTGGGAGCACCCAGAACACCCACACTGCCTACACCAGGCACGCCTGTGCTCTCCATGTGTTCTGCCCCTGAGATGTCAGAGGAAACGGTTCAGCCTGTTTGCTGGGCTGTGCTTTATAAATAAGTGTTTCAGGCAAGCTTTTGACAATCAAACAAAGCAAAATGTTCTTGTTGCTGTCAGCTGCAAAGTAGCCGCCAACCCTCGCCCTGCACCTTCATCTGTGAGGAATTCCACATCCTCCTGAAATAGAAGGGAAGAGTGGATAAACAGGAGGGACCCCCACATTTGCTTTGAAAGCTTGTCCTATTCAAAACATCTATTTTGCAAAGCAATTCTTGCACTTAAGGCCCCATTGAGGCACAGGGAGACTGAATTGCTGCACAAAGATGTCCCTGTGCTGCTCTCCTGAGGGAAAAGCTGTAAAATCTGGTCTAGAGATAAATCTGTTTCCTAGACAGAGCAGTCTGACAAGTGGTTCAACAACACACACACTGGAAAATAATAGTATTTTTGCTAAATATTCTTGTCTTCAAGCCTCTCTGCTGAGGAGCTAACAACTGAACATCTAAATTATGGGAACTACTGCTTCTGTCTATGGTTTGCTTGAGATTTAGTTCTCTGTGCCTGCTTCACAGCAGGAGAAAATTCAAATTGGAAGCACTATGCCTCTGACAGGCAACCCTGAAAGTCACCAGTATCTGCAGAACTTGGGAAATCCAAGATTTGCCACTTGTCATTCTAGTCATTTTAATGACCCCCAAGCAGCTCCAGTCTCTGACATCTCTGTATCCCATCAGCCAAAGCCCAGCAGTCTCCTGTTGCAGCAAAGGCATCACTCCTTCCCCACACCAAGCCAAAGTTCCTCCTTTTCCTCCTTTTCCCCAGTGTGCCAGGGACTTGATCATTCAGATTCAGATCATTCAGATTATATGGGACAGATCCCAATGATCTTATGCTCCCTGGATCACCAGACAAAGAGGTTGGATGGTTGGATGAATTAAATGATCAGCCCAATACACCACATGAGAGAAACAGGGTGAAATGCTGCTGAAGAATGATTCATGGACTGTACTGAAGGTGCTGAGGACATAAATCACTTGCAGTGTTATCACAGAATCCATTAAGTTGGAAAAGACTTCAGAGATCCTCGTGGAAATCATGGAGATTGGCAAGTGCAAAGAACAAAGGACACATGGGCTGCAGAGCATGACCAGCCAGGGAAAGTCCCAGCAAAAACATAATTGACTGTAGTGAGGCAGATAAAAAAGAGAAGGCTCTGAACCATCCTGAGCCCCAAAGACTTCAACCTGGTTGAAAACAGTGTCCTGTCAAGGTTGGTTCTAGTTCCTCCAGGATTGTAACAAAGATGCCACAAGTGGAAAGACATAAAGGAAAAAGAAAAATGATTCCCAAGGGAGCTGGATCAAAAGGCAAACTTGAGAACTGCTGAAGAGTGGGTTGCACAAAAAGCCAGGTTTTAACCCAGTAGAAAAGGCACCTCATGCATGTTTTCCTTAGTAAAAAGTACATTACAAGCCTGGACCTAACCTCACCATGCACTGAAGAACTATTGTCTTATGACAAAAACAAAGATCCAGGACTATTGCTCCATCCAAAGCATGTTCTGTTTTCATGTGTCTGACTGCAGATACTTGTATGGTTTTGTTGCTTCTTGACACCCAGAATTCCAGGGCAATGCCATTCAGGCACAGATACAGAGCAAGATCAGCTTTTATGCACAGACATGGCATTGCAGGCAGAAGTGGGTTTAAGTGTCTTCCAAGAAACCAAAGCATCTTCCATCCTGAGAAACAGACAACACTTTTTGTGGTAAACTCACTGGTAAATGTCATCCCTGCAGTTTCCCAGCAGCAAAGTCACCGTTGCTTGTTTTCTCTTTGGATCCTCACTGTCACAGCCACTCAAGAAATGACCTTGTTGGCTCCAGATGGCCATTCTTGTGGCTGGGATGATGGATGGATCTCTCTGTCCAGACACAGTCCTTCTCTCCTGAATTGGATCCTTTAAACAAGGAATTTTGAGGATGCTGGAGGGTGGGAGCTTTTCTGGCTACTGAACCCACACATCTTTCAATCTCTTTGACTTCTCACTCGTCTCACACCTCTCTGCTATCTCAAATCTTCCTCCTGATGATGTTTTAATTTTAAAAATCACCTTTCCTTTCCTTTCCTTTCCTTTCCTTTCCTTTCCTTTCCTTTCCTTTCCTTTCCTTTCCTTTCCTTTCCTTTCCTTTCCTTTCCTTTCCTTTCCTTTCCTTTCCCAAATACCTCTCTCCAATTTGATCTGCACCTCTAAGCTGGTTGCAGCCACTTTACCATACAAAAAAAAAAATATAAACTTTTTCATCTACAATTGGCAATTACTGATGGCAGGCTGGAAAGGCTTGGAAAATCTTTGGGTCCAAGAAACATTAGTCAAACCTTATCAGAGTGCAGGTTAAGGGAGTTTTTAGTGACATCTATGGTGATATCTGCTTGCTTTTGTTGGAGAGCTGCAGAGAATGTGCAGATAGCTCCCAGCTAGAACCAGCTGCGGCTACAGCCAGAACATCATTGTGATTTTATTATGCAGGGACCAATATTTCACCAAGACCAGCCCAACATTTTAGATTCTACCTGAAAAAAAACCCAGGTGTTCCCATCTATACCAACAGTTTGGCTGAGGGGGAGGAGAAAAAAAAATAAACACATTGAGGATGTCTGTCAGCAACCAGCAGCTATTCCACGGCAGTGATTTTGTCCAAGTGGGATGGGAAGCATTGCTGCTGCCTGCAGTGATTTTTTTTTTGTGCTCATGCAATCAAACCTGGAGTGAGGATCCTTGCCACCACGCCAATAAAGAACATTGCTTTTGGCTGGGGAGAAGGATCTCCAGAGACCAGGGCTCAGCCTGGGCTTGTCACTGGCAGTTTTACTCTTGATACAAACACTTTAAAATGCCAATAGTTATTCCTTTGCCTCTCCCTTTTGTGGTTTCAACCACCTGGCTTGTCAATTGTTTCAGGAAGAGCTAATTAAAGGCTGAAACTGAGCCAATGAGGCACCTCCATTGCGTAGCAAATTCACTGCTTGGAAATACTCATTGGAATAAAGATGAAAAGCAAATATGTTGACACATGGTATTCCTAAGCTCCCTGAAAGCCCATCACTCTTCAGGGAGCTCTCTGAGCTGCAGAGACTAGGAGTGAGTTCGCTTCTTCAGTAAAGATTGGAGATAGCTTGAAAAAGCATCCGCAAATTTGGAGCCCTTCCTGATTCTCCAGGCTGATCCCAATTGCAGCAAAGTCACGGAGAGATCCCCCTCTGAAACATTCCTGGTCCTGCTTTGTTTTCTTGCTTGATTATCATGTGCAGGAACATTCTGCATGCTCTTACCCTATTGTTTCAGCACTGTTAGTCTTGCAGTGCTGGGTCAGTGAATAAATTGAGGAGCACGCTGCTTCTAAGATAAACTGAAGCTTTTGAGCCTTTACTGCTTTTTCCGCCCAGTTCACATAATTGCCCAAGGCTGTGTGAATCCTGACTTTTGCTGATTTGCCCATCCCTGAAAGGGACACCACGGCTTTGAGGACCTGTCCTGACTCTTCACTCGTGCCAATAACTCAGGAAAGGCTTCTCTCATCTCTAGAGGCCAGGTTAGCATCACTGCTCATGGTGGAAGTGGAAGGCCATCACCTGACCCTCTCTGGACGCTTTCTGCCATGAGTCTGCTGCTCAGACCACAGCTGCAAAAGCAAACAGATAGACAGAGTCCAAGAAAGACAAGAGAGAGGCATCCAACACCCAGTGATGGCTCTGTTCACCTTCTTTGACCTCCACACCAGAGAGATGACTGGCTGCTGTCTTCCCAAAAGTCGCTGCAATTCTGTCAGGTGTTTAACATACAGCCCCACAACAATTTCCAACAACACATTAAAATGCAAAGGAGAAAAATAGAAAGGCTCCAGAACCAAGAACAAGGACAAAGCTGATTTTCAAATTGATTCAATAAATATAAACAAGGAGCAGCATGCTACAGTAAGCGATTTCTCTGCGCAGCCAAGATTAAATCAGTTCAGAGGGAGGGGGGCACGAGCAGGGGTAGCAGAGCCTGTCAGGATGAAGCTGCCAGAGAGGCCGATCCCGAGTGGGGAGGGAAAATGCGAGTGATGCCAGGCATTAATCTGCTGCCAGTTGGCATTTGGGATTGCTGGCTTCCCACCCACCCTCTGTGCCCAAACTCACAGAGCAGCAGCTGCTGGCAGCTGTGGGCAACGGTACCAGTGTCAGAGCTGGCCAGGGGACACGGCCCCGTGGGTGTCCTGGGGTTTTTGGCATGCTAGCAGCAAGGAATGGGGTTGGAGGGCTGGGTTGGGTTGGTTCACTGGTTTGGGAGGGTCGGGTTGGGGTTTGGGTTTGGGCTGGAAAGGAAAGGAAGGAGACACAAGACCACCAGCAGAGCAAACCCAAAGCACGGATGCGCACATGTTCCCTCTGCAAACGGCCGGACAGAGGGCAGAGGGCAGAGCCAGCAGCCATGCCTGGGTGTTTTCCCCAGCTAAGCACACTGACCAGCCCCAGGCCATTCCTCCCCACCCCTCAAGAACCGCTGCAGTCAGGAGCCGGGCTGGGAACGCAGTGAGTAGCATCCAGCCTCCCGAGTGCTGTGGGGCTGCACGTTACCCACTGCTGTGCCTGGCACAGCTCCCTCGTGCAGCGTTTCTTCCCCACCCTCTCCCCTCCAGCCTTGGCTGACCTTCATCTCCTGGGCCTCCAGCACCTTCTTGCCATCCCAGGCCCAGCTGCGCTTGGTGAAGTAGTTGACGGTGGCGAACTCGATCAGCGCAGAAAACACAAAGGCATAACAGACGGCTATGAACCAGTCCATGGCCGTCGCGTACGCCACTTTGGGTAACGAGTTTCTGGCGCTGATGCTTAGTGTGGTCATGGTGAGCACCGTGGTGACACCTGTGGGGACACAGCAGGACGCAGGGATGCCGTGAGATCCTGCACTCAGTGGTTTCTCTCAAAACAGCTGCCACTCCTGTCATGTAAAAGTAGGAGCCAGCTCCTGAGCCACATTCCTGCTGTAATTCAAGAAGTCCTACCCAGAGCCAGGGATCTACATCTACATCTATATCTATACCTATCATCTATATATCTATCATCTGTATCTCTATCATCTGTATCTCTATCTCTATCTCTATCTCTATATCTATATCTATATCTATATCTATATCTATCTATCTATAGCTATAGCTATATCTATATCTATCTATATCTACATCTAAATCTATATCTACATCTATATCTATATATCTCTATCTATATATCTATCTCTATCTCTATTTATCTGTATCTATATCTGTATCTACTCATGGGGTAACAGAACAGGCCAGGCTGGCAGGAGGTCAGGTTCACAGAATCATAAAATCACAGGATGGCCTGGGCTGGAAAGGACCTTAGAGACCATCTGGTTCCACCTCCTGCCACAAGCAGGGACACTTCTCACTATCCCAGGTTGCTCAAAGTTGCCTCCAGCCTGGCCTCAAACACTTCCAGGCATGGGGCAACAGTTTGTCCAGCCCCTGCTCAAATCAGGGCCAACTTCAGGTTGCTCAGGGAATTATTCTGGTTCAGTTTTGAGTAGAATCAATGGCAAACATCTTCATTAGGATGAGATTAACCGTCCCCAAACTCCAGTGACTAGACCTCTGCTCTCCATAGGAGTCCTCACTCACAGGGAGGCACCTGCACCACATTCCTCATCTGTTGGCAGGGTAAGGTGCATGATGCTACACCCAGCTCATGTAGAATATGTCATGGAGAAGCCTCCAGTTGCTTTTGGAACAAAATAAAAATAATAGCAGTGAAAAGGACAGCTAGATGGTTGTGAACCTCAGGGAGGATCAGAAACTGGCCATTCATCTGACACAGCTCTCTCAGGGTTTTAGAAACCGTGTCTTGTGACCTGCATGGATGGACACCTGGGATCCTGGGTCCTGCTGTCAGCGGCCCAAGCTGCCAGGATAAATGCCAAGATAAATGATTTATCTTAAACAAATGATCTGTTGCAAGATGTCTTTTAAAGCTTTTTTCATTAAAGCAAGCAACCATTACCATCCATTTTCCCCAATAATGTGCTTTTCAATTAAAAATGCATTAAAAACATTATAAAAATATTGACTAATTTTCAGTTCCCTTAAGCCATACTCCTGGTAATTTAAGAGTTTCAATTCAATATTGTTGACAATACTTTCTGAGGGGCAGAAAAAAAAAATGACTAAACAATTGGAGTTCTCATTATTTTCTTAATAGGAAGGCAAGGCAATTTGGGAGCAAAGATATTTGTCACACAGGTAGGTTTTAATTTTTCAGTCAGCTCTTGCCTGCTGGATCTGAGCTGCTGCTTGAGGAAACTTATTTCACTGCAATTCTCAGGATAACACAGGAGGGAATCACATAGGATACCACATATCCCCTCTCTGCTTGGGGACTTTTGTCCAATATCCTCTCTGTTAAGTGGAATCTGCTGGGCAGTGTTACCTCCAGGATATACAATCCTGCAGCATCACACCTGCTCTGGGAGCATGCCTGTGTAGATCCTGAACTAAAGGTCTTGACAGGAAAGCACAAAGCAATTCTGTTATTAAATGCTTGTAAAAGCTATTAATATATGTGCAGTGCCAGCCTGGCACTTTGCTTCGGTGAGAGGATCTGAAAGCAGCTGAAGGAAATAATAACACTATATTCACCATGCAGTTATGCTGCCTCAGGAACTTGTTATGTGGAGCTGTGACCAGGGGCACATTAGCAATTTCAAAGGTAGGGTTTTAAATGCCTCCCTGTGTACCTAGCCTCTGCTCAGCTCTAAAGCCAACACAGATAAGCAGACACAGCCAAATGCATATAATTAGATGATCAATACCTTGATTACTGTTAATATTTATGGCTTGGCTTGCAGCACAGACATGGCCAGGAGTATTTTTGCAGTGATTTGAGGAGGAGCAGGCTCACTGGGAAGACACTGAGAGCTGTCCTGGGGAATGGCCAGCAGCTTAGAAATGCTGGTCAGGGCCTGGCAAAGACCAGCTCTGATGCTCAGTGTGTTTCCCTTCCTATTTCCCTTCATCCCCAGCCTGAGAGGATGCGCCAGACTCACCAAAAACCGTGCGGGCCGGGACGGACTCCCTGTTGAGCCAGAAGGAGACCTGGGACAGGATGACAGTCATGATGCAGGGCAGGTAGGTCTGGATCACAAAGTACCCGATCTTCCTCTTGAGGTGGAAGTGTGTGGTCATGACGACGTATTCCCCTGCAGAGACAGCCAGGGAGGGATGCTGAGCCTCGGAGCTTCCCAGCCTGGGGCCAGCTGACTGCTCTGGAGATCCACCCTGAACAAACTTCCCGGTTTTTCAGTGGGATTTCAGTGGGATTTCAGTGGGATTTCAGTGGGATTTCAGTGGGAAGGAGGGGTGCAGGGGTGTAGCAGGCACTCACAGCTGCTGTGCCATGCTGGGTGAGTGCCCCAGCACAGCCCAGGGGGCTTTCACATCACATCTGTCCTTTCAAAACACTTCTCTGAGTTTTAATTCACTACAAAATGGGTGTGGGGCAAAGGAAAAGCAGTGTCAACAACTGAGCAATAAAATCTTCTGCTGTTTTGCCCCAGGCAAAAGGGGCCTCTGTGGGTCTGTCCTGACTCTGCTCCCATCCCAAGGAGCCACGCTGTAGGGAAGATCCTTTAAGCTTGAAGACACCTTAACAGTGCTTTAATAGGATTTCAGGACACAGGATTTTATTTTCTCTGTCAATCCTGAAAATACCTCACCTTCCCTCACTGTAACCATCTCAAGAGACAAGGCAAGTTCTGCTGGTGTTGTCTCACCTGTGGACTGAAGAGGCAGCTGTCCCCATTTTCCCTCAGCATCCTATTCCTTCCCCCAAAGCTTTGGGTATTTTGTTGGATTACTGTGTCTTTATGTTGTGAGCGTGGCTCTGCTAAATCATTACACACAGGAGCCCTTAGCAGCTTTCTTACCACTCCAGGTTATTCATCTGTACATTTTACTACAACTTAAGTAGAGAGATGGGCCAGATATTATGACATTTAGTTCCCTGGGCTCCCCACATTTCCCCAAGGGAGGTGAAATGAGTTGTTACAGACAGACACTATTAAAATCAAGTGCACCAGAGAGGAAATATCCTCAAATGAGAGAACTACTGGTGCATACAGAGGGAAAAAATAAAAGGAAAAAAAAGAAATATGAGAGACATATATGAGATAACAGAAGCTATCAGTACCTGGATTCAGAGGGGAAGGGAGGAGCAGCAGATGGGAGAGAAAGATGATTAATATTGGTCATTAATCAGAGGAAACATTTGTTTGGGATAATCTTCTATTAGTTATGATAATATTTGTGCAAGCAGATGCAGTGAAAATCACACTGAACATTATGTTGCCTTCGCCTCCCCTGCCTGCAGTGCTTTCCTGAGGGCTTGGAAAGGAATCCAAGACAAATGAACCCACAGCACCACAAACCAGCTGGACAACGCAGGGCAAATTTTCCACACAGCAGATCATTTGGAGATGCTTGAGATCAGTTCTCTTAAAGACTGTGGGCAATAAGGCTCTTTCAGTGGAAACCACTGAAAATCAAACTCTTTTCTGCCTCTTGGTGACTGCTGAAGACGTCACCAGCCATATCCTCCTGGCTTAGGAGGTGCTGTGGTCCTGGGCTGCCTCAATAATTATTCCCAGTCGTGGCATTCCAAGCCCAGGAGTCCATCTCATCCCTGGAGCAGCTCAGCCCACATGCTGGTCCCACAAATACCTGTGCTGGATCGAACCATCTCTGTCCCAACCACATGGCCCAGCAGGTCATACTGGTTCAGGCGAGATCCACCCTTGGCTACTTCCACGGATTTATCCTTCCCCAGGGTCCAGGTGTAGATCACCTCTGTCTTTGTGTAGGCATCTGCAGAGGAGGGAGAAGAACGAGATCTGTGCTTCTGCCCGACCTAAAATATACCAAAATTAGCCTGTAGCCAAATTAATCTTTGCTGTGCATCTCTCAGAGCCACATGGCTGAGCACAGCCAAGCATGGCCAGAGACCAAGGCAGATCAACAACTGTTAAATCAAATGAGCAGGAGCGAGCTGGGGTTTTTGGAAGGGAGCTGGAGAGGGGCAGAGCTCTGTCATTGAGAGAAAGGCTGTCCCTGTGACATGCTGACTCTGCAAGGGCTGGCTCCAAGCAGGGACAACACAGGAAAGCATCCAAGCCAGCAGGATGCTGGGGCAGCAGGACAGCCACAGCCATGCCAGGGACAGGGAAAGTCCTGCTGGCAGCAGCTGGCAACAAAGGCTGAATGCAAACGGGGCTAAATTTTAGGTTAAAAAGTTAAAAGTCTTTACCTTCACTCAAAACCCTCTCCAAGACTCTCAGATTTGGAGGTGGTGTCCTCTCACACCTAAATGCTTTTTCTCTGTGTTTGTGACTGAGCCCTGCTCTGTCCTCACAGCCAGTCCCCCTCTCAAGAGTGCTCTTGGTTTTTCCAGTCCTATGGTTATCTAAAAATTGAGTGTCTCCAGACTCTGCTAGGAGCTATTTCTCCCCATAATGCCCAAAATTCCTGTCTATACCAATTTTGCACCAGCTTTTTAAGCAAGAACAAAGTTCACTAAACCAAGCCTTCAGTTCATTCCTACTCACCACCTCCTCCTGGTGAAGACCTGAAGGAATTCTTTGGCTGGGGTCAGGTCAAGAGATGTGTCAGGTCTACCAGAGAAACGTCTCAGCTCCTGCTTTGTGGAGGATTGTGTCCTGAGGAAACCACATTTCTGTGATCTTCCTAAAACAACCACTGTTCTGCCTGCACTGTGGGTTTTGGCAAACCTGTTCAGAGTTAAGCAGAGGCTGTGCAAAGCACTGGGAGTGGTTTTGATGATCAGCCAATGTCTCTCAGCAGGTCAGAGTTCTGTCAAAGCTCTTCTCATGCAGGCTGGCACCTCACACCCCATGTGCAACACTCATGGGGTGTTTTCCAATCCCAGCCTCCAATGGAGGATTTGTCAACCCCTCCTTCCAGCCCTGCACATGCTTCTGGAGCCCTCCACCCTCCTTCAGAGCTTTGTAAAGCTCTGCCACTGCTCTTTCACCTGATGGGCAACACCTCCTGTTCTACAGTCACAGTCCAGCCACTGCCACTCTCAGCCTACAAAAGGAACTTGCCCACAGTTTCATTGCCCTCATTCCTGATAGTTCAGTTGTCTGTGTATCTGGTTGTCTGGGACAGAAGGGTATCTGATGTCACACAGGCATGGCATGGATGCTTGGAACATGTTTAATGCCAGGCAGCTGCTTTGGTTCTGCTCAATGCCTCGTTTGCAATGCAAAATCCAATCCAAACAGGGACAGCTCGTGGACATTTAGAGGAGCTGGTAAATTCAGCAACATCTTCTGCTCCCCTGGTCTCAGACAGCTGCAGTACAAATGTCCTGTGATGGCCTTAGGAACAGCTCTCTGCAGTGCACATTCATCTTCCAGGGAGCAGGGGGATAGGCAAAGCCATCCCTTCACTGCCCTTGGCCCAAGGGATGATGCAGGGGGGCAGCTGAAGCTCTCTGGAATGCCTGATGTCCTTAATTCCCCTGCAAATTCTCTGCTTTGCCCCCTGGTGGGGCTGCCGTGGTGGCCCAGGGACAGGAGGCCACTGCTGAGCCACTTGTGGGGATCAGCAGAAAATGGTCTGTGAGGCAAACTCAGCATCCTGTGAGCAGCATGGGTCTGGCACAGGCATTGTCCTTCTAATTGCAAATCTGACCCACTTCAGGCTTCTTGAAAATGAGCAGCTTCCAGCTGTCAGTGGCTTTTTAGTGAAAACACTGGTTTAATCCCACTCCAACACAGGAGAGGTGAGCTCGGATGCTGTGCCGGTGCTTTAGAAAAAGTCACATTAATGTTAACCAGGGGCAGCTTTCTGAGCTCCTTGTCTCAAAACTCTCATCATTCAGAGGTCAAATCAGTAAAAAAAAATAACCCCAAAGGGTGTTCAGCAGAAATACACACATTAATCTCTTTTCCTCACCAAGAAACATTATAAGCAATTAGATGTGGAGTAATCTGCCTTCCTGCAAGTCTTGTAATAATCCCAGAGTTTGGGCCTGAGGTATGAGATTTGATATCCCTCCTCACAAGGTCAATTAACATTAATAATTCATCCTTCTCTAAGGCTTGCTATTTTACTGGCCTTAGTGATGTCTTGTGGCAAAGAGTTCTACATTTAATTAGGTGCTGCCTAAGAAATAGCTTTATTTTAGTAGTTCTGAATAATCCACTTTCATGGGTACACTTTGTCATGAGGCAGAAGAGCAGATGCACATGATAAATATAATTTCCTCTCCTGCCAATCAAACTTTTCAACTTTGTCCTCAGCTCCCAAATGGCTACAGGAAGGGAGTGTCAGTTTGGGAAGGTTGGGGTTTCTCTGGGGGTTACTGCTGTGGGCTCATTTTTTAGCTGGAGGTGGGAAACTCTCATCTAACACAAATATAGACTAAAAGTGGTGATCAGTTTGCTGGACTTGGGAAAGAATCCAGGCTAGTATGTTTATTTTCACGTCGTGGTGAACCAGGGTCTTGGGGTTTGGCTCCCACTCACTTTAGGAACAAAACCAAATGAAATTTAACTTGCATATGGGAGAGATAAGGGAACTGCTATGGGGAGCCCAAGCAGCTGAGCAGCTGCAAGTCTGGGAGGCTGTGAGCAGCTTTTCAACTCACCTGCAAATCCTCCCTAAACCAGGACCCTTGGCTGCTGGGACTGAGATTCCCAGAGTTTCCAAGCCTTTCACTTGGGAGCAGCCTGCCCGACAGACTGAAGAGTGTCAAGGGGTTTGGGAGCTCCTGTGGAGCGTGGAGCCAGAGGAACCAGCTATTTCAGGCTCTCCACAGACAGGCAGGATGGGACACCCAGCAGGAGCCACCACCACTGTCCCAAATCTGTCTTCCCAGCATCCCCTTGTGATGAAGAAAAAGCACAGCTCAGATTTATAATCATAGAATCATTAATGTTAGAAAAGCCCTCTAAGATTATCAAGTCCAACCATTAACAGAGCACTGCCAAGCCCATGTCTCCAAGTGCCCAAAATGCACATTTTTGGAACACTTTGAAGGATGGTGACTCCACTTCCCTGAGCTGCTTGTTCCAATGCTTGAAGTGAAGATGTTTTTTCTAATATCCAATCTAAACGCCCCTTGAGGTCATTTCCTCTCAACCTGCCACTTGTTACTTGGGAGAAGAGACTGATTCCTACCTGGCTACTTTCTAAATAAATTTACAGCAAAACCACGCGTGTCTAACCCATCCTGTAAGCCTGAACTGAGCACAGAGTCACTCAGTGATGGTAGGAATTGGATGTATGAAGAAAAAAAAAATAAATGTTGGTCACTTTACCATTAGCAAAAATGAATATTGCTGTTACTAAAACACTGTGTGACACCAGCCACACCAAGGACTGCTCTTCAGCTCCGTACTACCTCTTCGCAGGGGCTGCTGGGGGTACTTACAGCTCCCAAATTTCAGGGGGCAGGCGTGCACGTCCATTGGGAAGTCCTCCAGGTGCATGGGGCACTCGGCGTGGATGGTCAGCCTGCAGGACAGAGCACAGGGGCTGCTCAGGGACAGGCCTGGCCCTTCTGCCACAGCCTCCTGCAGCCACCAGCAGTGGCAAAGGCCTCGAGGTGCTCACCAGCCTCGGGGTCTCCGGGCAGAAGGCCCCCAGCTGTGGAGAGGACAGAAGGACACACATCTGGCGGCCTTTTCCACGGTGGAAACTCAACCCTATTGCCTGAGTCCATCTTCACCCACTCTCACAAAATCTGCCAGAGCCCAGGACTCCTGTTTGCTGTGAGCAGAGCTCCTGGGGCCAGGGGACACCTCATGGACCACGCTGGAAAGCAGAGGGGAATGGTTTCAGGGCTTCAGGGAGCAGGGCTGGTGGTGTGGCAGGAGCTGAGGGCTGGATTGCTCAGTCAGCCAGATCCATGAAACCACCAGGACACAGCAGCCCCTGTCCATGTGGGACATCTCATCCCACCTCCCCTGGCTCCTCCCTCGCTGGCAGCACTGCGGAGGATGCTGCAGGCAGGTGAAGAACTGGAACATTCTGGGGCTGCCTGGGGGCGTGCAGGACAAGCTGTGCCTTCCAAATCCCCCAAATCCCGGTAGGATACCTTGTCAGGAAGCAGCTTTGTGAGGGAGGAACAGCCATAAAAGCAGTGTGCTGCAGAATATGGTACAAAAGGATCCATTATAAAGGGCTCTAAAAAAGGGAGCTCGTGTTCCTTCCTGGAGTACTGCAAAGCGTGCAGCCAGGGAGAGACAACCTCCCAGGAGATGGCTGAAACAATCTTCTCTGAAAAGAACTATTTGTAGGAAAAAAAAAAAAAGGACTCACTTCTGATGGCTCAGCAAAACAGCAAACAAACCATGGCAGGAGCAACATGTGGATGCAAAGGGCAACTGCACAGGCTGAAGGTGGCTTGTGCAAAACTCAGGTCGAGAAGCTTCTATTGAGATATTTTCCTTTGGCTAGAAAAATGTTCAGCTAAGTTATTCTTCACAGAAAATACTGAGGCTTAGTCAAATGCAAAATAAACCCTGAAAAAATAAAGGCTTTGGGTTTTGTTTGCTAAAAGCAAAGAATACAATATTTTTTTTTAAAGGAAATAAAATAAAAGGTTATTTCTTTTAGGTAGACAAAACTTTTAAAAAAACAACAAAAAAACCCCATAAAAACCCAAAACAAGCAAGGGAAAAAAAAAAAGAAGAAGAAAAGAGGGCTTTTTTTAAATTTGGCATAATAAAATTCAGTGGACAAAAACAACCCCTTCACAAATTGTTGTAAAATCTCCTGTGGAAGAAACAAAGCGGAATGGCTGTGAGGTGGCAGGGGTGGCACGGCTCCACTGGCTGCATGTGGCAGCTGCTGCTGGGAGAGGGGACACCCACACACGGGGCCCAAGGCAGCAAAGCCTGCACAGCTGCTGCTGCACTGGAGCCTCCCCATCACCTGTGAGCTCTGTTCTGCCAGCTGAGGAAAGGAACCCTGGCATTTCAGACCCACATCCAGCCTCACCTGCAGCTCCCAGAGGGTTTAGGGGAGCTGGCAACCCCACAAGGGAGAGCAGAGGAGTTACATCAAGAAGCAGAGGAGGAGAGTTGCCATAATTTTGGTGGGGCTGAGCTGGGTGGCCCAAACTCTCTGGAGCCCCTGCAGCACTCAGAGCTGGGCATGAACTCCCACTTCTCCAAGTCTTTGGGAATCTGGCAATTCAGCTGTCCTGCTTGCTTCATGTCTCGCTCCAGCCTGGCTTTCTCAGCCAAGCCAAGAACCACTGTGTGCCCAAAGGAACTTCTTGGAGACAAATCACCCTCTCTGACTTGATCTCTCCTTTGTCACTTCACTGAATGCCCCTGTTATACATGAAAGAGAAGACCTTGATGCCTTAAGTTTTAGTTTTCGTATTTTCCAGATTCTCTACTGAATTGGTTCATAACTCTGGAGTTCACACAGAGTGTCAACAGGTTCTCCCCACAGCCCAGGCAGACACAACAATCCTTTCCCAGCCCCAGAACCAAGGACACCGCTGCAGCTCCAGGCCCAGAAAGTGCAAACAGCCCCAAACTGAGGAGAGCAACCTGGGAGGATGGGACTGCATCACCTGAAATTGGACAATTAACCCCAGTATGGAAATGGACCAAAACCTATAAAAGTGTGAAAACTTGTGACCTCTCTCCCATCTTGGGTGTAGCCTTGGCTGGGCTCTTGTACTGCCCAAGGTGTATCCTTTGAAGGCCTTTTAATAAAAAGCTATTTTATTCCTTTACCTCTGTCCAGCCTCTGTTCCAGGTAGCCTCACAAAGCATCAACTTGACCTTTAGACTTCAGTCAAGGCTCACTGAAGTCTGACAGCAATTTTGACAAGCCTACAAGCACAAGTGTTATAATTATTTTCCCCTGGACACTCAAAGGCCGCCATGAACAAATTGCTCATTTGCTCTGATGCCTCTCTTTTCCAATGTGGATTTCAAGAAGCAGGTATAAAAACCTGGCAGCTTGAGTGCCTTGCTCTTCCTGTTCTGTTTCTTTTGTGATGTTCTCTTCAGCCAGCTCCAAATCCACTTGGGCAGCTCATGGCTGGCAAGCTTGTCAAGCATATTCTCACAGATCTTAGTCTTTGATTCTTTCTGTGTCTTTTCCAACTGCAATGGACTTTCTGCTTCTCATTTTGTCACTGTCACTTGTGTCAGGAAAATATTGAGGCATTTCCCCTGTCTCCCTCAGAAGCCCACACCAGAATTTTCCTTTTAACCTTTCTGGTTTTTCATCTGCTTCAATAGTTGCTTTATTATTTCCAAAGGCTCTTAGATGGGAGTTCCCAAAGTTGGCTTTTCCAAAGGATCTCAACGCTGACCAGTGACTTCCTTCTGATGCATCCTGAACTCACCCCAAAAAGCCCAGAAAAGTCTTTTCCATCCACTGTATTATCTGTAAGTGTTCACTGTGATCATCAGCCACTCTGAGTAAGGCTGAGTGACCCAAGGACTGCACACTGTGGGTTTGTGCCCTTTAGAGCAGTCAGGAAGAGCCTCAGAGGGGACCAGGAGGGCAGCAGAGACTGGCCAAACCCTCCTGCCCTCTCCAGACCATGGCCAACAAGAGCAAGGGTTGTTAAAGGAAGGAGATAACTTTATATGGGTGCTGGACGATTGCCTCTGTGTTTGGGAATGCAGCAGTTGCATTTTAAATCTAAAGCCTGTTTTATTAGCTGAGCCAGCAAGCAATAAAACAATAAATCCATCAACAAAACACTGAAAAAGCAACCTAATCTTCCACTTCTCCACCTACAACTGAAGGAATTTTTAAGTCTCCTGAAATTAAATTTTAAAAAAAGGAAAAGTCAGATCATTCCAGCGAGATGGGTCTGGTTCAGCAGCTTCAGCCAGCCACAGGTCAGCAGGTTCACAGGTAACACGAGAAACATCAAAATGTCAAACCACAAGGAATGTCTCTCCCTTCCCAGACAATTACCACAGCATTTGGATTGAAGTGATTTTTGCAGAAATTCTCATCTGCGCCCCTCATCCTTTGCAAGGGAGTTGATGGCTGGAGAGCCACTGCATTTTGCTTCATTGCTCTGATGGGCTATTCACATCCAGGAGCCCTGAAATGTCCTTTGAAAGCCTAAAGAGCACATGAAAAATAGCCAAGCTGCCAGAAATCACATCAGCCAGCAGCTGTAGCCTTTGGCTCATCTGTCCCAGGCGCCTGCAGTAACTTATGCAGAACTGTCTTGCAGCCAAACCCCAAACTCCCAGTGTTTTCTCTTCACTTTCCTGGCACAATGGCACCGAAAGTGGAACACCCAGGACAGAAACCGTGTTTTTTTTATTCTTTTAAAGTCACAGGAAGTCCTTTGAACTGCGCCAACACAATGGCAAGGAGCGTGAATCAGGCTAAACATACCTCTGCCAGGGCTGACGGGCTAACAAACCTCTTCATCTGCGTTCTCATGGTTACCAGGAGCTCAGCAAAGCCTTTGATGTGTCATTAGAGCCCCTGTCGTTACCTGCGTGCAGCTGCAGGATGAGCCAGGATCTCAGCCCAATTTCTGGGACGCAAATGTGATAATCCCTCGGTGTGTGAGCGCTACAAAAACATGACAGCACCCTGCACGGCGGGGCTGGCTTTGTTTATGCCAGGGATACTGCTGGAGTTTTGTCCTGATTTCTTCTCCAGGAGGTTCATTAACAACCACAGTCAGGCCGAGCAGTGTTTACGGTTTAGGCTGTGGGAGAATCTAGGTTAGGTTTAATTGCTGGGGTTTGAGCTTGAAAGCCAAATTGCTTCTAGGATCCTCGTGCTGGAACTGGAAGCACTGATTTCACTTTCCATCCTCCCCCAGCCCCTGGAGATTTCAGCCCATGATGGCAGAAATACAGTGAGATAAGGTGTTCTCTGAGGATTTCTCCCTCCTGGGACAGTTTCCTTAAAACAGTCTGCCTGCACAAAGCCAAGCCTGGAAAACAGATCATTTTTGTCCTTGGATCTGCTCTGGCAGGGAATAGTTGGGGCAAATCTCATCTTGTTGCCTGCTTGTATCAGCCAGCCAAGCTCTGCTCTGCTGGGATCTGTGATGTTTCCTGGGATCAGCCCTGGTGTGGGACACACACAGCCCATCCAGCCCAGGAGAGCTGGTGCTGGTCTGTCCCAGCTGCTGCTCCTGCAGACAGACTGCACCTCCATCGTGGGGGAGGCTGCTGCACAGCCTGGAGCCATCACAACTTGCCTGAGGGCTAAAAAACCCCAGCCAGTACAGACACCCAAAGCCTTTGCTGAGGGAGAGACACTGCAAAGCTCTGTGATTTCAAAAGGAAACCCAAACCCCTGAGTGCCACACCAGGTAAAGGACTTGTCCTGAGATTCCACAGCCCCTGTGGGTCTGCATGTGTCCTGGGCTCAGCTGTCCCTCCTGCTCTGCCTCACCTGAGGGTTCACAGACCCTGCTTCCAAGGACTGCACGTTGTCTTCAGCAGCAGAGGCTCTTGAAGCAGTCTTTGGGCATGCAGTGAATGTGTCAGCCTGACAAGTAAAGAAAACATCCTCCAAATGCATAACTCGAGCACATATTGTCTGGGAACCACTCTGACAATAACCACAAAGCCTCAACATGCCATTCTGTCAGGCCCTGTTAAAAGCAGAAGAGCTTTTTAAAGCCTTGATTCACAAAACTGAATGCCATCAGCACAGCATTAAACTTTCACTATTTTTACATGCTTCAAGGCTAGGAGGAGCCAGACCATTATCTATGTGCCCCACACAATCCAAGCCTGAAAGTACACCCAGAGATGGCTGGCTACTTCTGCCTCTTCCTCATGGAAATCCATGCACTATTCCCAGGTTATTGCACTCAGGTCTGACACCAGAGTTTAGAGACCATAGCTGGGCTTTTGCGAATTACTTGGATGCTGTAGGAGCTCCACAAAAAGAGACAGCAGAGGCAGGGCTACATAATAAAACTGTGCTCCCCGTGCCCTCTGAGGCAGGGACGATGCAGAGGGATCAGGAATCCAGGGGAGCAGAGAAATGCAGCTCAGGGCAGTGGTCACAAAGGTTGTTTTGTGACTCAGTGCCAAGGTCTGTCAGTGGTCAGGGGTGTGCACTGTGACATTGCACTGATCCACGAGGAGAATGTGCTGTGGCTGAAGGAAATCTCTGGATGCTCGGCTACAGCTGCTGTGCAGCTCCTGGGAGCTCAGGTCAGTGATAAAGAGGCTCTCTCCAGGAGCTATAAATATTGTCACACAGGTGTAATTTTGCTGGATGCATGTGTCAGACTTGCTGTTCCACCAGAGCAAGTTCATCTATAACTGTAAGCCTTGACTAAGAGAAGTTGGCTTTCCCAGCAGGATAAATAGCAAGAGACGTGCCTCTAATTGCACATCAGCAGAGCTGATCCCTCAAGGATATTGGCTGGTACAAGGGAAAGGAGCAGGATATTCTCAGGAGTCAAACTGCATGGCCAGGCACCAATCTAGACTGAGCCTGCAAGGGATCACCTGGGCACTGCTGCCAGGCCACTGGAAATCTGGTGGAAGCCCAAACTCTCTCCCCAGTCAGCAGGGCACTTTGCTGGATGTCAGCTGTGTGAGTTTGGCTTCAAGGTCCTGCTCCTTCCTTTAGGAAGGACACACATGCACGTCCCTGGGCATGGGGGAGGACAGCAAATGCATCACTTGGACAGAAAACAAGAGACTCCCTCCAGCTCTTCCCTGGGAGGAGGTTTCAAAGCAGTTAACCAGGGAGGGTGATACAACCATCATCATTTGACAGAGGAATTGAGGTGGGAGTGCCTTGGAGTGGCAAAGCCAGGTAGGATTTGGTAGCTGAGTCTGAGACTTGGTCCTGGCCCTGCAGTCTATGCCCTTGCATCTGCCTTTCTGACACCCCACTCAAAAGAGAGCCTGGTCCTGAGCTAGAGGAAGAAAGGGAACCATCAGATGCTCCAGGGCAGATATTCCATCCTGGATGTGTTTAATTGCTTTGTCCCAGCATGCTGTGGTCATCTGGTCAGCTCTAAGCACATGACCAGCTCCAGGACGTGCTGCCCGGAGCTTCTCCTGGGCTTCACACACTGGGTAAAGAAAAGATCTCTGTGCACAAGAGCTCCTGGTTCTGTGCAATTCAAAACATGACAAAAGGTCTCATATCCAACCCTCAGCCTCTGAGTGGGCTCCTCACCTCTGACAAAGCCTTAGGGATGTATTTAAGGGGGACAGGAGAACATGTAAGAGGAGGACCTTCATTCCCCAGTTCTTCAGCAGACAGCTAAACTGAAGGATGGCTTGAGTTTATTTTAAAAAATCCCAAGACTCTCTTTTTTTCCAGAAGCTCATTCCCAAGAGTCTCATGATGCTGCTGCCATCCTGGCACCTGCCCAGCCCTGAATGGAAAAATAAATCCAACACTTTCTTAGTCACACAAAACTTGCTGAAGCTAATGGCTATTTGCTGAATAAAGAAGTAGCAAAATGATTTAAAAGCTCTGAAATCGAGTCTTTTTTTTTCTTTTTTTTTTTTTTTTCCTGTCTGATGCCAGCAGCTCCTGTAATACTTTACAGTCAGACAATGATACAAAGTGCAGGGAGTGTGAGTTGTCTACTTGCAGGTCAGAGAGCTGGGAGCAGAACAGAGCCCTTGAGTCAAGTTGGGCTTTTCCCTTCATTTACCCCATCTGCCTTAATGTGGGATCACTGATGTGTGGAGACCTAAACCCCCAGGGCATTGGCAGGATTAGCTCATATTTGAGAGCTGCTGCACAAAAGCAAGGCATTGTTTATCAATGTAGGCTGGAAAACTTGCTGACACCATGTAGATTCTCAGCCAGTTTAACTATGAAGAGATGAAATTCTGCCTGGTCCTCAAAAACAGAGGTGAAAGTGCAGCATCTCAGCACACAGAATTCACAATGAAGCCCGTTATTAGTTAGGATTGGCTTGGAGATGGAGACAGAGAAAATAATTTTTTAAAACAAAGATTTACACCTTGCCAAAACCAACTCAATACCTTTCTTGTGCATTTATCAGCAGCTTGTTGTTTCATTTACAACTTATGGCTCCTGCAACCCTGGCTTCTCCAAATGACAGTTTTTAATTAGCTGTTGGTTGGGTTTTTTCCCCTAATGATGCGCATCGATCACATAGATTTTAATTTTTTTTATTCCACAAAGTGGGAAAAAACAACCCCATTGTTGTCACAAGCAAGCTTGGTCTCATTAGATGTGTGAAATGGTTCTGCTCTAACATGCTGAACAAATTTAGATCTGTTCTCAAGCTGCTGGAGAATAACAAATTCTCCCAGTTTAATGTTCCCATACCAACATTAGATACCTGGTTCATATCCCATCACAGGTCAGGATGAAAATTAGGCCAGGTGGCACATCCACCTCACAAACTACAGATCCTGACACTTGTACCTGGGCACATAAAAACAAAAAAAATCAGTGTGAACAATGAGGGAAAATCTACCTGTAAAAATGTGCCAAGCTGAGGATCAGAGATGGTCCATAGGCAGGAAACAAGGAAAGCAGCAGGGTGGGACTCAAGTCTACTAACAAGAGTTAGTGGAAGCCTGCACAAACCCTGCTGTGCTGCACCCTGAGGTCCCTGTGTGTGCAGAGGATTCCCTGGAAGGAGAGCCAGCCTCACCTCATGGTGTACAGGAGGGTGCCGTTGTCCACCAGGCGCAGCAGCTTGTTGGGGGTTGTCATGTTGTGGGCAACAGATTTCTTCCCGTTGTGGAAGAAAGTGTCAGGAGTCCAGATCTTACTGGCCAGCAGGTTGTTCAGGGGAAGGATTTTCATGGGGCCATCAAACTTCAGCCTTTCATCTCTCCAGGACTGACGGAAAAAGACGTCAATGGTGTATTCCTTTGGTGAGAGAGGAGGGGAAAATAAATTATGTTTATATTCGGCACATTTTGGATAATGACTTACCCATTGTGTCAAAATGTGAGTGTCAGTGTTTCTGAGCACTGCAGAGAAGCTGCAGCACAGCTTACAGTGGCCAGAGCTGGGGTAGCCCTGCTGCACCACCACCTCTATCCAGATGTTTCAGGGGAGGAAAGCCATTATGTGCAGCTACACAGGTGTTTTGGAAGGCAAAAATAAAGATCCTGGAGATGGAATCTGGCCAGGATGCTGGTAATTATATCCCTGCTCATAAAAAAAAAAAAAAACACAACCAAAAAAACCTTGCATGACATTGTCTTAATGTTATTTTGTTCCCCAAGCCACCTTTAGAAATCAATGAATTGAAGGCTTCACAGACTTGCATTACAAGATCCTGTGATTTTCTTTTGTCTTCTTTTTCTTGTTTTATTTCCCATTTCTTCTTTTTATTTTTCTTTTTTTTTTCTTTCTGCCTGTGTAGAGACCTGTTTCCTAGGCCAGATTCCAGCTGGGGCAGTTAGAAGTCACCTCTTTCAAACCTTGCAGCCAAGGCCAACTCCTCACTCCACAGATGCAGATTCAGAAACCACTTTTAGAGACAGAAGGGTCTTTGGGAAACCTGTCTGTCCCAACTATTCTGCCTTCCCCCTGCTGCTTCAGACTCGTAGTCTTTATTTATGTGTTCCTGGAGGCTGCAGGACCAACTAAACTTATCATTGTGAGTGATTTCTTTCCTGCAGCACTTCTCAGCAGCGCTTAAAAACTGCTGTGCATCACTTTCCTATAGGACAGAGAAATTCCTGCAGGTTTTGCAGCAGATGGCAGCTGAATGGAGGCATCTCAGGAAATAAATCCATCCCTGCTCCCTGGCCATGGAGACACCCCTGCTCAAATATGAACCTTCTGGATCTTGGCTGGGGAAGGAAAGAGAAATTCTGTATTTTCATGGGCTCTGCCCTGTACAAGGTATTTTGTCCCTTCATAGAAGTGATCTCTAACTCATTATTTCTTGGGATAAACCCAAAGAAATGATCCTGTGTGCAGTCCCAGAGGGTCTGGGAAAAGTCCTTATCCAGAGAAGAGCTCTCTCATTCCCTGTTCCTGTTTAAAAAGTGCCAGACAAAGAAGCAAAACATTTTTAATGACTTCCAGGGCCCTGCTTATCTTCTTTAATGCTTAGGAATCATTCCTGAAGAAAAGAGAAATCATGTTCAGAATCTTTCCCTCTTTTCTATGCTTCTTTCCATAAAAGCATTATTCCCAACTCACCCCTTCCAAGGAGCACACTTACTTCTGTGTTATGCTCTTCTCTTTCTACAGAAGTGGCTGAAAACATCCAGACTGACTCTGTCCTCAGAGTCCATCCATGAAAAAAGAAGAAATCCCCTTCAATTTTTGTTGTCCTTCGTACAATTTTCCAGGGACTGAGGCAAAATTGCAAGAGCTCAGTCCCGAAGACTGGGGTGCTCCTCAGGTCTGATCAGGCTCTGCTCTCCAAGCCAAAAGAGAGATTAGGAGACCCTTGGAGCTCCTCAGTGAAAAGGTCTCCACGTTCTCCTCCTCCTCCTCCACACTCTGTGAGCAGCTGCTCTCCCCCGCTCCCAGGGCAGCTTTACCTGCCTCTCCTCCACATCCATAATTCCAGCTCCGCGTGCGCCGCAATGCGCCGGAGCTTCCCAGGAGTGGCGGTGGGAGTGCTGGGAGCCCAGCACCGGCAGGGAAGGAGGGACTTCCCTGCTCCTGAGATGAAAGGAAGCCCCAGAGCAGGCTCTCCCCACGCTTCCTGAGGAGATGGGGTTTTCTCTCCTTACTTTTAGCAGCAGAGCTAAAATGCATTCGCTATGCATTTGTAAAATACACGGAACGAAAGCACGCGGAGGGGAAATAATTTATTATTCCTTAACTGTCTTCCTAATTTTAAATTCATTTTGTCAAATCACATTGCAGAGAATACCTTCCTCTTTTCAATACCTCATATTTTTTTTTTTTCACAGTTCATTATACACACTCCCTTAATCAAATATGCTCCACCTTGGAAGTAATTATCAGATACTCCCCAAGGGCTACGATTGCTGAATATATTATGGGTCTCTGCTGTGGTAGGAAAGCAGGAGAGAGAGAGGGAGAACTCAGATGAGGTTCATAATCTTGATTACACTGACATCAACTTAACTTCTTAGCCTGGAGGGAGTGGTCTTCCCAAAGCAACACGAGTTTGAGTGATGGAGTGAGCAATTCCACGCAACACAGAGATTTTATTCTCCCCCAGCTCCTCTGCTTGCCAGCACAGGATTATTGTGGGACAGCTGAAGAGATGTTCAGGCCATGCCAGCCCCAGAAAATTCGACCCTTGCAGCTCTGGGAGGGTTGTGAGAGCCACAGGACACTGCTCCAGCCTGGCCTTGCTCCCTCCCCAAAAACGGGTGCTCTCCATGGGCTATGCCAGCACCAGGTCACCTCAGGGGCTGGACATGCAGGAGGGGCTCAGTCCCGAATGCACTTCTGTCCTCATGTGGCATCCTGAAACTCTTGAGCAGCCGCCCACAGCCAACCCTCCTCTGGGTGCATGAGGAATACGAGCTGCAAGAAATGCTGTTGAGAAACCTCACTATTAATTATGCTCCACAGTCCTGTTTTAATTAGAAGACAAACTGTTGTGGGAATACAAGCCTAAATTCAGACCTCAGGCCTTTTCATTAATAATTTCCCCTGAACTTGTCAAAATAGTGCAATCAGTCCATGCTTGTTCTGTTTTCTCTTTTGCACCCTTCCCAGTTCAGGCACTAAGGACAGTTTGATGGTGAATCATTGTCTCTGACACTGCCACCTAACCAGAACAGATTCTGGCACCCTCCCCTCTTCCCAAGGAGCATCTTCATTCCTCCAGTTATCAACTGGTTTCCAAAAGCCCAAGCACACCCTGGAAACAACTCCTGTCTACCGCTGGGAACGAGATCCCACCAGCTCTTGTCACTTAGGAAAATCCCACTTTTGTCCATATTGTCCTGGGATGGGAGTGGGACACATGCACAGCAGCTGAGGAGAAGCCACCCCTCCCCATGAGATGACCTACCATGTCTGTGTCCGAGACAGGGCCGAAACTCGTCACGTAAATGTCTGTCTTGACTTCGGTTACACTGTCTGGGACAATAAGAAAAAAAAAGAAAAAAGGAAAAAAAAAAGGGAAAGAAAGCAATTAGAGAGCTGAATTTCCTTGTGCAGGCAAGAGTTTGAGGTTTGTTATATGGTGTTTATTCCTGCTCTGCTGAACCCTCAGCACCGTGCTCTGTGCCCCAAACAACGGCTGATTTTATCACTCGTAATTGGGCACATTCATCTCCAGCGCAGCTCTGCTGCTTCCCACGCTTACACCGAGGACAAATCTGTCCCACACGGCCAGACAATGCATATTTACAGAATCTGTGTGGCTGCATGATCCATACCCTGCTACAGATCCACATGTTTTCAATACAGAGGTAAGCCGTGATGCTTTGAAACTCCTTTTTAATCTGAAATCCCTTTGTGTCTCCCAGCCAGATAAACAGCCTAGCAATGTTCCAGCAGTTTTAGGGAACCCTGGGTTTCTTACAGCTCCAGGCTTATCTGTATGTAAAAACAATCAATATTCTGATTGCCTTTTACTGCCGTGGTGCTTGCTGTTCTCCTAAGCGCCTCACTCTTGCAAAGCTCGCCCACATCACGTGCTGCCCCTGCATCCCGGGCTGAGATTCCCTCACGGATGCTGAGCAGCAGCTTCAGAGCCCCTGCAAAGCCACAGAGCCCTATTGCCTGCCCAGGTGCTAAAACCAGGGGAATTTTAACCACATGCCTTCAGATAACCTGGAGTGCTCTCCCTCCTGACTTGGATTTTGGTGTGCTTCCTAATTGACACTGCTGCTGCCCCACTTTGTGGGGAAATCGAGGCACGGTGATTTCCCAGATTTACAGTCCTGTGCTCTGCCCACTGGGTTGTGCTCAAAACATGATGGATGAGCTGCCTTGAGTTCAGCACTCAGTTCCCATAAATCCTCCCCACTTTAGGGATAGATCGTGCTGTTGTGTGGCATTAGCTGGCTCAGAGCTGCTCTCCTAATGAAAGAACCAATTTAAAGCTGCAGAGTTCATGTTTTATGCACAGAACCCAATTTTGGCCATTGCAGCAGCCTTGCAAGTAGCCTGGATGGCCCATTGTTTAATTTAGTTATGGAAATCCTTCTGTCCCCTGAGAGTTATTTTGCAATACTATGAAGCTTAGGTTTGTGCTTCAAAGTTTTACATCCCAAAATAAGGAAATGCATTCTGGCAGGGTTTTCTCCTTAATGGCTAAAATATACGTATACATGTCTTTAGTTATTATGGCTGAGAAGCTTTTGATGCAGCCCGTGGCTGATATTATTGTGCTATATAAGTAACCCTTGATCTTGTCTTGATGCGATAAAAAGAAGGTTAAAGAGAAATATGTATGTGGTACATTTCGTGGAACACCCAGAAGTCTCAACAAAATGAGCCCCTTCTGTAAGGCTGAAACACTCTGGGTAGTCTCAGTCTCCTTCCAAACAAGTCCCCAGATGAGGCACACAGCAGAGAACATTTAGTGATGCGAGGCTCTTTCTGCTACCCCATGCGGCGAGAGAAAGCTCATTATGTCTTGGAGAAAACACAAAATCCTCCCTCCCCTCTCCTCCCCGTCCTGGCATTCATCCTGCAGCCCTGGACAGCAGATCAGGAGCTGTGGCCACCCCTGGCCAGGGAAGACAATCCCTGGGAGGTGCAGGATGAGCTGTCCCCCACACCAGAGGGACGGGGGGTCACAGAAGGGTCTGTGCTTTCCAATGTGCTCTGCTGGCTCCAAGCACAGGGGAAGGGATTCAGGAAGTCAGGGGAAGATAAAAAGGCAGAATTAGTTTTGGACACCTTTTGATACGATCCTGCAATCCTTAAATGAGCCTTTATGTCCTCATCATGCTGTAACCTGGCTGTCACAGAGCTCCAGAGACCCCTTCCTGACCCTTCAATCTACTGGCAAATCCAATCAAAGATAATGGCATTAGGAATCTTCAATAATCTATTAATAACTTATTAATATGAATAACTAATTACAACCCATATCTGAAGAGAATCTCCCATTTCCAGACACCCCTTGGCAAGCCCATGCAGCACCCAGTGAAGGGACAAGCTGGGGATTCACTGCTGGTTCAGTGATGTCCCTCAGCATTGAGAAAAATGAGCTTCCTGCACCTCTCATGGCAAAAGCCAGACTGAACCCTCCCTGTTAATATGTGCTCCTAAGGGCAGGATTTGGCTGGGATCCGGAGGGATTTCTGAAATTAAATCATTGCTACGCAGGCAGGGATTTCAGCAGAGCTGGGAAATCCAGAGATAAGTAAAACACCAGCAGAAGAGAGCAAGCTCCAGCCTCAGAGATTTGCTTCCTTTGTGATCCCACAGCCCAAGAGCACCTGCACTGCTCCCAGCTCTGTGACTGTGAGACCTCCACCTGCAGAGAAATCAGGAGCTGCCCCAGCAGCCTCCCCTCTCCTTACCCTCACACTGATCCACCCAGAGCCTGAAAGAGCTGAAGCTGCACCTGCTTTTTCAGCAAGAGAAAGCTGAGAGAAAAGCATCTCCTGCCTCTGCTTAGAGACATGGCAGGGAAATTCTTATTTTCTGCTCAAGCCATAGGTGTGCTCACAGTGTAGCTTGGCTGCCTTGTCCAGCTCTCCCCAAGGATTTAATAATTAAGGACTGTACAGGGAGGTAGGCACTTTCCCTAGAACCGCCGTGGAACACAAAATGACACTTTTCATTTCCTAGTAGCCTCCTTCCCTGTAATTCAATTTTTTACAGGCACGAGTTGAGCCTCCAAGGCTGCTGGGGTGGCAGGTGGATGCTGCCTGTCCTGTTTATAACCAGGGAAACAAAAATGCAAGGACTGTGTTCAGGTAGGAAGCTGGAGCAGAGCAAGGACCAGAGCCCAGGTCTGGCTGCCCTAAGGACTGGCACAACACTGCCCAACAGAGCCCTTGGTGGGCTGCCCAAGCCCCTTCCAGCCACCCTGCCCAGCTGCTGCACCAGGAAAGCAAAGAAAGACCCCAGATCCAAGATGAAGCTGGAAGAGCAAGAGATTTTCAGGTTCACTATTTGAACTGAATTTAGAAGTTCAAGTGGCCATGTTCCCAAGTCATTTGTTTGAGGACGACTCCCTTGTCTGGGGGCTTTGCCATTGATAGGCTCAGCTTATTCCCAAACTTCAGCACAACCACGTTTCTAGGAACAATTTGGAGCAAGTGTGAGAGCAGAACAAGGTGCTGCAGGTCAGCCAGGGCTGCCCCTTCCCCCTGAGGCACAGAGCCCTCTCAGCCTGCCAGGCCATGCTGCCTTGCTCCCACCTGTAGAAATCCCCCACATCTGGGCAGATCTGCAATGCAAATGGCAAACAAAACAGCCCTTCCCACAGTGTTACCATGGCACTTCCTACACCTGCCTGCTTTTTAAGAGCTACCCCTCTCCTCCAGGCATCTGCTACCCCAGATCTGGCTGCTCGTGTGCACCACAATCCCCGCTGCCAGCCCCGAGGGGAGGACAGATCCAGCCCCCGCAGCCCCACACCAGCAGGCTCTGTCACTTCCCTGGGTGTGCACAAGGTGCAACCCAGCAGCGGCTGTCACCGAGGTGCTTCGGGCTTTCCATTTCCCCTGTGCCCCCATCTGAGCCCTCCCCATCCTCCTGGCCTAAGGCAGACACCCCCCTTCCTCCTGCAATCCCCCCCTTTAAGTGACTCCCTGGGCCCGGGAGGAGATAACTATTATTTACAAAATGATGGAGTGCTATTTTTACTTGCTTCTTGGAAGCACCGGGAGCAGCGGCAGAGCTGGAACACAAATTACAGCGCCTCGCTGCCTCCCCCTCCCCGGCTGCAGAGCTACGAGTGACCCTGGGAGGGGGGCACTGGGGGCTGAGCAGGCTCGTGTTAAACCTCCCCCTGCACTCATCGAGTGCTGTTTATTCAAGAATCACACCGTGATACCCTGGCTCGGCCGGTTGTGTGTCAGCTCCGGAGGTTTAGGGCTGGCCTGGGCACGGGTCGGCAGGTGAGGGTTCCCAGAGACTGTGCCGGCAGCTGGGCAGGATGATGTGCCTGAAACCGGGCTGGATGATGTGCCTGAAACCGGGCTGGATGATGTGCCTGAAACCGGGCTGGATGGTGTGTCTGAAACCGGGCTGGATGATGTGCCTGAAACCGGGCTGGATGGTGTGTCTGAAACCGGGCTGGATGATGTGTCTGAAACCGGGCTGGATGGTGTGCCTGAAACCGGGCTGGATGGTGTGCCTGTGTCCCTGCAGCCAGCCCGGGTGATGTCCCTGCAGCCAGCCCGGATGATGTCCCTGCAGCCAGCCCGGATGATGTCCCTGCAGCCAGCCCGGATGATGTCCCTGCAGCCAGCCCGGATGATGTCCCTGCAGCCAGCCCGGATGATGTCCCTGCAGCCAGCCCGGATGATGTCCCTGCAGCCAGCCCGGATGATGTGCCTGCAGCCAGCCCGGATGATGTGCCTGCAGCCAGCCCGGATGATGTCCCTGAAGCCAGCCCGGATGATGTCCCTGCAGCCAGCCCGGATGATGTCCCTGCAGCCAGCCCGGATGATGTGCCTGCAGCCGGGCGCTGGGGGCTCCCGAGTGATGCGTGCTGTGGAAAACAGGGGCGAAGCCGCTGCGGCTCCGTGCAGGGGATTCCTGGATGCTGCGCTGACGTCAGGGAGGCTGCACAGCTCTGGAGCGGAGGAATGGGATGAACCCGGGGAGGGGGAGCTCCTCCAGGCAGCTCCAGGGCCGTGCGGGGACCTAAGGGAGCTCAGAGGTGACAAACCCGTCTGTACTGGTGTTTCTGTGCGGGGTGGTGTGGCTGAGAACAGAAGGGTTCAGGATTTTGTGTGCCCAGGGGTACAAACCCTCAATCCACCCTAAGTCAGCTCCTAGAGGGAGATGTTTCTGCTCTGGGCTCCATTATCCCATCTCTAGCTGTGGTCACAACCTACGAAGGGCAGTAACAAGCTGAGAGTGCCCCCTAACTCCCTCCTGGACAACCCCATTTATCCTCTGCTCAACAATTTCTGAGGTCCCCCTTATTCAGTGTCCCCAAA